TCGCTGTTAGAAGTTTTTTTTACTTGAATATTCGAGTTCAATTCGCCAATAGTGTATAGACAGTTGTCGAAGAAATTTACATTGTACTTTTTTTTTCAGTGTATCTGAATCCCGAGACCTTTTTGTTCCTCTGTTGAGTGTAAGATTTTCCAAAGTATACGATATGACTACAGATTTCCACTTGCACCCGGGGAAATCCAAGACGTGAGACGGAATTGGCATTCCGTGGGCAAATGGCGAATCGGACATTGGCATGCAAACGAGAGAAAATCCGTAGGTTCCTTTTTTTTTTATTTCAATTCTGGTGACCCAACTTCATGGGTTAGAACTGAATTCCGAGTTAAAAAGTAAGGCGTATGCTGTTGGAGTATTCGGTGTGCTCTACAAAATTATGAGATTTCTTTCGGAGGGAGACCATTAAAGAAAAGAAACCCAGGGACTAGGAATTTGGCGAGAATGCACTCATGGAATTAATTAATTCTCCGAAGGAAACAATTGTTCCCATAATAATTGAAATAATTTGAAATAATAAACAACTCCTGGTCGCTGTACCACCAGGAGTACTTGTCATTTTTCCATCTCTACCAGTCGATTATTTTTTAAAGTTCAATGAGGAATAAATTAATAGTTGACCCAAATGCACGATAACGGCATGGAAAATTGATGAATGATGAATTTCCCAATGACATCCACAACATTGAGACAAAGGATGAATTCTTCGATATGCTGTGAAGATGGTGTAGGTAGATTTTGCATGGGAGACAATCCCAGAATATCCATTCGTGTCATCACGAATGCAATTCTCATCATTTTGCTTCCGAAAAATCCACTTCCCACTCAGAGGACAAATCAAGCCTATTTTTTGGTTACTGTTAGAGAGGTGGGCTACTCAGAAAGTTGCTAATTTCTTATAATGGCATTCCTCACTTGTTTCCCCACGAAAATAGTATAATTGCAGGGTGAGCGAGCAATTATCCCCGACGTGCTGACTCAATGAAGCGCTGAGTCCATTAACACGAAATCGATTGAGAATTCAATCGAGTACACACGACGGTAACAGACACAGGTGCAACCGAGATTACCAACAACCACTAGGTGATCTAATGGAATTCCGTGAATAATGGAAGAAAATGTATTCGTGTAAAACAAGATATAAACCGGGGAAAGTCGTCTCGTAAGCCGTTTGTCGGGGAGATCGAAATTTATTTGCCACAGTTGCATAATTCAGAATTATCTACTGTTTCCGCTCGGATTCTCGTTATCGGTCTAAGGAGCAGATCGAAATTAAATTTTCGGAAAAAATGATTAATTAGAAAGAAGAATATCAATGATGAATTCCGGTGGAAATTCACTGCAGAAATCAATCGAATTTTTGAGGTTTTGTGGGGATTCTCCAATTTTACGACGGAAAGATGGAGAAACCGATTTTTTAGTGTGAAGTAGTCGTATTTGAGAAAGCCAAAATTATGGAAGGCTTATTAAAGGATAAGATGATAAGTTGATTGATTGGTGAAAATATCGAGAACAGAATTTCGAGAGGAAAAAGATTGCTGCAGATTCTTGTTGGTGTCTTATCGATTCGTTGTAAATTTTTCCGAGAGTGATCAGATGGATTAGAGAATTCCGAGTGAAAAATTCCGGTGTCGGTCTTTCACTTGCGTTGATATTGAAAGCACCCAATAACCCACGTAATTGCCACCATCCTTATACAACATGTCCCAAGGTCTTGTGATTGAAGTCAAAGCCGATTTTCACTCTCGATGAGAAACCGGTCGGCGGGTGCTTTCTTCTTCCTGGCCCTCGGCTATTTGTCTGCTCATTTTTCAGAAAATATTTTAACAATCCTTAACCCAAAAATGGAAAGACGATGAGAGTCCGATTTGTGCGTAATCACTCTGCGAATATAATTCGTTTTTCATTTAATTTAGACTTTATAACACGCACGTTATTACGCCACAACATTCCGGCGGTCACGGAAGTCTCTTTGACCGCAGGTGCCGACGCATAACGAGTTTTCCTGAGTGATACTAACATACAATTTGGTATTACCGTGGACAATGCACCTAGAGGACTATTCTACATGAATTAAGTCTGTCGAATTTATTACCGCTCGTGTGAATAGTTCTGCTATCACCGGTCATAATCAATTGATGCCAATTCTCCGGGTCGAATTCCGGAAAATTTTTCAGGGTCAACTGGTAACGGAAATCCCACCGCAAATAATTGACTTTATGTCAAAATAATATGAAGATTTATTAAATACCCAACGTGTAAATGTAATTATTACGGAAAAAATGATAGAAAAGTCGGGAAAATTGATGTAATTCTAGAGGTGAAACGAAATGATTTCCGGTGTTGACGAGAAAAAAAAATATTGAATATTTGATTTTGCAATGACACAGTTTCCCGAGATGTAATCGATAATAATGTCCAGGATGAGATGTGATAAGAGCAAAAATGACTAACGATATTCGGAATCACGACAGAATTCACGTGAAATTTCATTGAAGGAGACCGCTGGTAAAATGAAAACCACTTTATTGCGGAATTTTGAATGATCAAAAGTGAGGAGCCAATCGAGTTAACTATGGCGCACCGTTGATAATTGCCTCCCCCGGTACGATCGATGATGCTCTAATTACAGACGAGTGGCGAGATCAAACGTATGAGTTGTGCCCTGGAACACAAACGCATTTACGATCTCTCGGTACGGGCCGTATAATTACAATGGGTGAGTGGTGCTTCAAGATTGAAATCGATTCTGTTATATTACACTGGGTTGTATGAGTCTCTGTCGTCTGTCTGCTCGAGAATCAGCAATTATCATGAAATATGGTATTGAAGAATTAAAGCCTGATATCGGAGGTGAGAGTTATATTGCAATGAGAGTTTATAGGACAAGTCAGCACGGATTTTATTCGTATATCGAGAGCAATAGAAAAAATTGCGAAGTTGTGGGTTCTGCGCAATTTCAATTCATTTTTGTCTCATCTTCTGCACTTTTGAAAGTTCAATGAAATAGTGCTTTTCATTTTTAAACAATTGTTGATTTTTCAACGGACGCTTGAATCAAATCCAAATAAAAATGAATTTTTGATAAAGTCTAAATCCAAGAAAATCATAAAATTTGGAAAAAAATCAGTTACTTTTAGAATTTTCATGGATTTTCTTGGAATTATCTGGTGATTTAATAAATAAATAGATAAGTCAGTGAGCAAATGAGTTGGGGATAATTAGAATAAGTTCGCATCTGCCTGACAAGGTGTCAAAACATAGAGGCGTTTTATGAATATTTAATGCTGCAATAAAAAAAATAACCCTGTTAGACTGGTTACCCTTCGCACATTGCGGTGTATTGAGAAAGGGAAAAAAGCACTGCCGATTGCTTCATTTCGACACATCCTGACGATAATTAATGTTTCCTAAATGAAGTTATTCCAAGGTTGCTTCACTGCGTGATTAAAACATTCCAACAATCAAAACAAAAAACGCACATTGGAATACATTTTTATTGATTAATCAGCTCTTTGTCAATTCTGATTGGAATTTAAATGAATTAAAAGTGCGAAAAATTAATTGCAATTCAAAGTTCAATGCGCAAAATGCGAACATAAAAAAATGAAGGAAAATGGGGAAGTCTAGTCCAATTCTTTGAAGTAATTGAAAATTCCGTCATTTTTGTTAGCGAAAAATCGTTTTAAGACCTCGAAAAATTGAAATGTTATCAGATTTTTCAGAGGAGTTCTAGATTTTGTGAAAGGGTAATAAGAGATGTAAGATTACTGGCAGATCTATTCTCTTTACCGACGTCATAGATGTTTATCTGGAAATGGAATAATTAAACATCCTATTGACCCTTTCAGCTCTTTGATTAGATACACTTTGACGTTGAGCAATGAATTTCAAACGAAGGTATTCCGAGGTTAATCATTATCTCACAGCAGAAATATCCTACAAATCCAAATCAATAACATTCTAATTATCCTCTGTACTTCAGTAATACCAACATTCTCAATTATTACTCCACACTGAGAAAAAAAATTATTCTGATGAATTAATTTCCATCAGCTCCATAAATTCATTATTTCTAAATAAAAAATTCAATTCAATCAAGAATCAAATTAAAATGGTTTATCCATTTAAATTTATAAAATTCATTTTTATATCACATTATTCATTTGGCAAAAATTGTAATTTTTCTCAGTGCAAGAATTTGAATAAATACACGTTTACCGCGCACTTCTTTATACTTTTATTATTTTTTCGAGAGGCAATGGTTTTCTCTACATTCGGAAAACGTCCGAGGATACCTGTACGTACATTAGTACAGTTGACATTTAATGTCGCAATCAACTGGATAATGGCGTATTTACCCCGGAGGTTATGCCGAAGGCTCATGTCGCACTGGGAGTTTCTTCACCATCAATTATCGGAGAAGGGAAATATCTTCTTCACCCATGAAACGTAATATGGTGACGATGGCATATACACCATCGATTCTTCGCGTGCCAACAACAGTCAACATGACGTAACATCTGATATCCCGAACACGTGCGCATAATCGTTATAAAGTAAAAGAATTCATTAATGAGGTGGAGAGGGAAATACTTATTATTCCACATTCAGATGTCGACATTAAAATTTATTCTCTGGGCTGTTCTAAAATTTTTTATCATAGCCAAAATACTTTCAATTCTACACTTTCATCTGAACGATTCCTTTAACTTTTACCACTCACAACAAAAAGCCCCCGTAAATTGATGAAAATCCATCAAATTCATAGCGAACAGGTGACTAGGGAATGATTGCATTGCGCCATGAAATATTACATGGATTTCCTCACATACCCCAGGTGCAACTCGTGATTGGGAGTGGTTTAATCATGCTAATAGAATCTCAAGATTAATTCAACGAACAATGGGTGAAAATGGATAATATATCTGACATTCGTTGGAATAAATTCAAAAATACAGTTCATTCAACTGTTAAAAGATACTCACTCTGTATCCGTTAAGCTTGTTGTTTCTACCTAGTGCAGCCAAGTTGGCGTCATTGGAATTTCCAATCCCATCTCTATTTTCCATTCCGTCTACTTCGTCTTTGACTCGAACAATTTTTGGCGAGTGTCCAGTTTGGTACTGATCCTTTCGACAGTGACTCCTTGGACACTCTCTAGCTGCTCTTTTATATCCGGCATTTGATATACCACTGGTATTTCTTTCAATTCGTGAATGCTTTATCACGACTCTTGATCCCTCTATTTTACGATTATTATTCTCATTACGTGAACGATTGCCCGAGCTCTGGAGCATCTTCTCCTGGAGATCATGAGCGATCTTCTTGATACGGGGTGATGCCAGAACACGAGCGTTTGATAAAGATGCGGCACGTAATGGGCCTTTGGATGAATTATTACGAAGATTTTGGTTATTCCTCTGGTGAAGATCTTGTTTGATGACTTCTACTAGTTTTATGTCACTATCATTGGATTCGGTGGTGGTTTTTTGGAGTACGTTGACACGCACAGCACCCGGTCGTCGGGAATTTCTGCGATTTAACATCGGTGGAAGATCGATATCATTCGGATCGTCATTCTCGGTTGTCTCCTCTTGCTCTGGCACAACGTACAGTCTTATCTTGTGCATCTTGATGCTGATTGTCGATGCCCAGACGAGATCAGCTGGGTGTCACCATGTACACTCACTCTCTGTTAATCACATTCGCTAATCACGTGATTAGGAACGAGTTGTTTTAATGAAATAGGCGGATAATTTTTCGAGGGAATTACGCTGGGGAAAAATACACCCGACTTGTGGGAAAATCACTCGTTAGGCAGATCATTTGGGGATAATGAGGGGTTTATCGGGGGTTATATCGAGGGTTTATATTTGCGTTGTGGGAGAAATACATTTTTTTTTTTATGTTAATACGTGAAAAATTGATAGAAACGTTTATCGATTTTTTAATTTCTTTGGAATGTCATGAGTTTTTTTTTTAATTAGTTGAATTTAATGTTAATTTTCAATAAATTGGCAGTGATTGCCGGTGAAATCTAGATTTTTTAGGCAATCAATTTGTGGATTTATTAATGGAATTTAGTGGAAGGACTCTCCGTGGAATTTCTGGGGAGACTTATTAGGCAAAATGTCACGGGATAATTCAATGATTAATTAGACGATTGGGTCTTCACTAGACACTGCATCTTAAACATCTTGCACTTGTGCAGGTATTCAATTATCGACAGCAATGGGTTCAATTAATCAGAACTCACTGGTGTACACTCACTTCACTTCATAATAAATTGGTTACATCATTGAGACGAGCTTGATGTATGCAATTAATTGTGGATTAAATGCATTCCTCGTAGGGATATTGAAACAGTCTGGTGGGGCAATTTGGATTACACGTGAATGACCTTCAGGGTTTTGTGACATCGGAGGAATATTAATATACAGTGGAAAATATTACAGGGAAATACGTGTTCGGAAAGGTAATTTATGATATTGACAATCGGGGAAATTACGAGATTAAAAATGTGAATTAATATTTTGAATTTGTAATTGACAGTGATATTTTTAATTTCGTAATTTGCGCGTTAGAACATTGAAATTGTTTTTAATTTTGTAGTTAACGCTTTTATCTTGCAATTCTTGAATAAAAACAGTGCAATGCACAAGTTTGAAATTCTATTTTTAATTTCACATTTTTTTGATGATGATAACATGCGACTGGCAGTAAGTTGGAGTGAAGAATGGCAGGAGATTTCCCACTGGCGTACGTAAATTAAAACGAAACGTAGAGGATAAAAAAGTCGGTGCAGGACAATATTCATGTATGAAACAGCGGCATGAAGATACAAACAAATGACTTTTTGAGATTACAGAGACGCGTATGTTATGGCACAATAAACATCGTGCGAATTTACTCGCCGTGGATCTAGTAAAAAGAAATGAAAAAAGAAAAAAAAATATATAGACTATGATCGTGGGTGCGTAGAATTGTGCAATTTTTTTTTCCATTTCTCTCTCGTCTTTTTGTGGTCTTTTTTTTCACTCTTTGCACTGAGCTCTCGCAACATATCGTACTCCACATGAGTGCGTAATGGATCCACTTTTTCTCATATCACGAGCATGAAATGCTAGAATAACTTTTATGTATTTTCTCTGTTTTTTTTTCCAAAGTTTTTTTAACTCTCCTTCTCAGTTGTGCTTTGCCAGGGGTGGGAGAACGGTGTCTGTGAGAATTATTGCTGTTTTTAACTTTTTCAACGTTTTAATCACGAGTGCAGATTTTACTTTCAAAAATTTTTATATAATATATGAAATTTTGTTTCATTTGCCATTGAATCAATTACTTGTATTGTTAGATATCGCTTGATAAATGTTTACTTCATAAAGAAAGCGATGAGAAAAATGTCTGCACCGATATAAAGGAAATGTTATTGAGCAACAAGAGAATTTTTCTCGGACTATGAAATTTTTCTAGAAATCTCTGTGAATACTAGGTGAATGGTCATCGTAAAATCCGATTTTTTCTAATCGTAGTTTTTTTTAAGACAATCTCACCGTGTACTGGGAAAAGACAACTCCGACGTAAAGAAAATTTGATGAGGCCTTTCAGCACTCATAACTTCTGCAATTCCCCTTATTTCTTTTCCAACACTTTTTTCACCTCTTCTGAGTAATACTTTATTAGAATCGAGTAAAATAAATCTGTGAAAATCATTTGAAGAAAACGAGCTGATGATCACGATTGAGATATTGTGGAAAGAATTTATAGAATTCTTCATCGTGTTAACGATGTTTTTTGATTATTTTGACTGGAGTTTTGAGCATTTGGATAATCCGGATAAAAATTTCACTTTCATCTCGATGGATGGAGATAATCCAAGAGTCAACGGTATAATAAAGAATATAATTTGAATACAATGAAGAGGGAAGATTTTAAATTCGGATTATATATACTAGTATCTATGGAATCATAGATCGCAGGGGAAGATGTCGGAAGACTTATTACAGGAAGAAAAATCCTCCACATAAAGCGAATCCAATGAACCCTTTCAGCATCAATAACTTCTGCTGATTCCCTCTTTTTATGTCCAACATTTCTTTCAACTCTTTTCAGTAATACTTTATTAGAGTTTTAAAAAAAGTTACGTCTGCAAAAGTGATTTAGAGAGAGCTTATCTCAGTTGATTATCGAGAGAATGAGAAAATTTGACGGGAACAGTAACGACTCCTCGACAGAACTTTTTTCCATGTAAAAAGTTTTTTTTCGTCATTGCACGTCATGCAGTGAAATTATTTTTATGAAAAACTTCTCGTTAAAAGTGTAAAATCAGTGACGTGGAAGACGGCGAGTTATTTTTTCATATATAATGTTTGGATTTGATTCTAATTTAAATTTCAAGTTCTTCAGTTCAATTTGGAATATAATTTTCTAAGATTGCATCAAGGGGATGCAACGAAATAAGGTGAAAAAAATTGCTGCATCGAGAGAATCTCCATAACAAAGATCTGCAATGAGTCTTAGCCCCGATAACTTCAGCAATGCCTCTCTTTTTATTTCCATCACAATTTAAAACTCCTCCCCAGCAATACGTTATCAGAGTTCAAGAAATTTTGCGTTCGTGAGAATTATTCGTAAAAAGCTCATCTCAACAGCTGCATTTAAGATTCTTGACCCCCGGAGTGACTCCTAATGCTCTGAAGTCGCTGGGAGAAAAGGACCTGTTAACCCAGTTCACTGGTGAATACCAATCAGGACTTTCTTTCGCAATTTTAACGGATATGGGTATAGTTGAAAATTGACAATTGGCGGTGCAAATGGTGACGAAAAAAAAAATTGCACGGAAAAAGTTTATTGGTGATTTTTTTCCCCGCCGATTCCGGTCACGATTTTTTTTTTAACGCGATAAGGCGGTGGCGGATGGTGAATTCTTTTTGCACTTGTAATGACTGCCAATGAACGGAGATAAACGAGATGAACCTGGTCCAGTAGTTATACCGTTACCGAAGTGTTCCAGTTGCGGAGCTGTCATTTCCCCTGAACCTAGTGTATGACTTCAATTTACGTGGTCATTGAAAAAATTGAAATTTCACGGACACACGACTACCGATTTTCAGGGCAGTGGCACTGAACGCGGATTAGGGGAAAAAATCATTGAATTTGAAAGTTTAATTAACTTTGCGAAAAAGGTCAAGATGCTTATCAAATTTAATCATGGATTCAGATGGGAATTTATTTATGAGGAGAAATTATTTTTGAGATTAATTCAAAATCTGAAATGGCAAAAATTTAATTTAACGTGGATAGATGACGATTTAGAAATTTATGAGGCATGTCGGATCTTTTTTATTCAGAGTTCCAGTGGGAATTGGTTTCTAATAAATACCGCAAATCGGTATCAATTATAATATTTCGAAAGTGAGAAAATGACAGTGTGATCACGTCGTACTGCATCGGAGAGCACGTGGTAGGCCTTGTTAGGACTCACCATGCGTGACATTCCTGGTACAGAAGGTTACCATTGGAACAGTACACTATATTAATTGTACCGTAAATTTTCATGTCGGTCGATAAAATACACGACAAAGCCGCGGCAACATCTCAATTTTTTTCACATTTTTATCGTCTTTACTATTGAAAATTCGTATCTCAATTCTCAGTACCAAAATTTGGAAATTATTATGGTCTTGCAATTCCTCTAGAATTTCTGGGGGTATTGGTCTTGAAAATTCATAATTTTTTGGAGTAACCGATCACTTGATACCTCATAATTTTTTTCTTTGAAAATTGTGCGTCAATTATTCCATGAAAATCGACAAAAACCAAAAATTCATATTTCAATTACTAATTATCTCGGTGCCATCAAAGTGAAATAGAAAATTCCGTAATTCTTTCCCGCCAAAAGGATTTCACCTAATCTCTCCAAAAATGGAGTATTTCACTTTTTTCTAGTACCAATTTCACTATTTATTCAATTATTAAAATACCTTTTCACTGAATGAAAAAAAAAATTAGATCATTCTACCTAATGGAGAAAAATTAATTATCCAAGTGATACTAGTAAATCTTCAAAGAATCTTTCCATTTCCAAAATTCCCGATAAGACCGTCTCTGAAAATTGATATGCGAAACTGACAGATGAATAAAAAAATCTGATTTCCTCTCTAATTAAAATATTCTCTAACATCTCGTGTCCACATCCAATAAATCACTTATTAATCGAAAGTTGACATTGTAATTCAGCATTCAAAGGTAGAATTCGAAGGTATTGAGCCATCGAATCCAAATCCACGACTAATTTTAATCCCACATTCATGAAAAGTATATAAACTACATGGTAGCCCCACGCATATCCGTAATTGGATATACGAAGCCCACAATATTCCCGGTCTGCATTAATATGGAAGCATTAAAGCTCAATCAGAGGATTTGTGTCATCCGTCAGAGCCAAATTTAAAACTAAAACCGAATGAACGCTGGCCAATAGAATTACGAGGTAGAATATGTCACAGCTCAATCGAATATCAGCTCGGAATGCAATTTTTTATTACCAAAAAAATCTAATCAATGAGAATAATAACACTGTAACCACTCGTGTGAACTTCTCAGCGAATGAAACAACACTGATAATGACGGTAAGCGATACAACTCATGGTACATCAGAGAGAAGGTTTGTACCTCGAGAAAGAGAGGGACAACATCAACCACGTGGGGGGGCAATCGCTAAATCCGTGAAAGAGAAAGACGAAGAAAGCTACAATTGTACGAACGTTCACCTGAAAATTATCTGATGGAAATGTGTCATTTCCTAAACTTCCGATTTATATTCTCTGGCAGTCCTTCACTGGAATTGACACCCGTGAATTGATTTTCGAGACTTGAGTAGTTTGAGAAAGCCCGGGTTTCCAATCGCTTTTGAAATTAATATAGTACATCCGGTGTATGTCGATTTAGCATTTTGAAAGGTTCTGATTCTAATTTGTTCCGGTTTATTTTTTAATTTAGAGTGAGGAAAATGGTGTTCATCAAAGAGAATCGGAGGAAAACGCGTTATTTCCTTAATTTATGATTTGCAATCTAGTGGCGGGATTACGATATTTATATTATCACAATATAGCAAAATATGCTTAATCGAGAATTTATTGCATCTGGAATTCCTTCCAGAGTGTCGCCACTTACATGCACCTGTGGGGATTTGAATTCTAGGTTCCTAACGGTCAGTGACAGGAGGTGGACAGGTATACCGATCGTCATAAAGATCGTGTCCATAACCTTCGATAATCAATATTTCGTGAATCTCCGAATAATGGAGATTTCACTCCCAATAGACGGGCAATTCCCCATGAAATTCCACTATCGCGGTGATAACAACATCACTACAACATTTTATTATTCATGAAACGAGTAGGCAACAGGTTGCCTCTGCTCCGTTCAATGATTATCCATGAAAATACGACTCACCAATTTGGTTTTCCTCTTGCGAAGTGTCTCTCGACGTCTCACTCTGCTGTGATAATCACTCAAACCTCGAAGATAAATATTTTCCTTTTTTGTGTCACCATTCTCTGTCACGCACTCGCTTTTGACGTGTTTTCTACGGGGCGCCATTTTGACTCATCGGTTTGTTTCCCTTAGGGAATTAAATACAGCGAAGATAACACAGAACACTGCAACTGCCACTCGCGATAAACCACTCACGATTTCTATTATATTTTGGTTAATTTTAAAATTTCACTTTTCAATTTAATTCTATTTTTAATTTATTATTTTGTTAAATTTCTAGTACATAACTCCGAAGTAATATTTTCCATACATGATTTATTTAATATATTAACGCGCGCACCATTACGACCTCTCAGTCCATCAAACGGAAGATTCAAATTGGAAGAGCAAAATCGATTTTATCGACACGAAATAGCGATTTTTTAATTACTGAATATTATTTTTCAAGGTTCAGACGTTTTTTTTTGGGTCGTTGCAGATCCGATCCGCACTACAGAATTTTTATAGATGATTCACTCAGAGATGTGAATTCGCGCGGACCGTGCAGAGAGATCATCACGAGAGAGAGCGAAATTGGTATAGCCGGGGACCTTGAGGTTTCTTAATTCTCGAGAAGAATTATTCCTTAAGGTTCTTCTGTTCTAGTCTGCTCTAGTCTGCTATTCTCTGCTCTCCGTTGTTAATTCTCTCCTCGATGTATCTGCTGCAACTCCGACCGCATGAATGAATTTTTGAAAGATTCCTCCCGGAATATGTAGACGTCTTCCGCCAATCACCGATTTTTGGTTCTCGTTTCCCCCGCTACCAAGTTTTCCACCAATCACGGAATTTTGGTTTTGACTTCTCCCACCCCAAATATTTCGCCAATCACGTAGTTTTGTGCCACAACCGTCTGTTATTAAAAGAGGCTGTGGCGCGGGAGATTTCATTTCATGGAGAGGAGTTGCAGCGGCAGGATCGAGGAGAGGAAAGGAGAACAGAGGAGAGCCAGCAGCCAAGCAGGAGAGGAGAACACAGCTACGGAGGACAACCTTGGGAATAATACAAAGAGGAAACTCAAATCTCAATTTCGCTGTGGATGAAAAAAATAACGGCTGCAAGATGTGGAGCCCTCGTCGAAGGAACCACGCGACAATTGTAAAGGAAAATTGTCTTGAGATTTAGTCAAGGCCAAAAATTTCTTCGCTTTGACTTCACTTCATTTAAGTTCTTCGACAATCTGACAGATGGCGCTGAGCATCAAGAAAAAATTCAAAATCACCTCGCGTATCCGAAGCAAAAATGTGTTCGCGTCAAAATTATTTTGTGAACATAAAAATTTGCAGGATATAGTTATATCATGTAATACGATTATATGATATAGTTATACGTATTCGTTGTTACCGATGGATTCGTGCGCATGACGACGAGCTTTCGAGGAATAGGCGGCGCTTCAGACAATTTTTCTTGTTTCCACTCGGAATCGTCTTTTTCCCTCACCGTATTCGGTCATATTATCGTGAAAAACGTTGTGCCACTGATATTCTGTGGGGTAGAGCGATTTTCAGTCGAGTAAGTGACGTGATAAGACAGTTTTGGGGTTGAAAATGTCAACGATATCGTCTCAGGAGGCACCTCATCTACAACAAATCGATTTGACAAAGTGCAATCTCGATCAGCTAATGTTGCTGAAACGACAGCTCGATAGGGAAATCGGAGTCTTTCAGGACTCCATTCGGAGTTTGAAACTAGCCCAAAATAAATTTCAACAGTCGGGAAATTGTCTTGATAAAGTCAATACGGAGATGAAGGGTAATTTTTTATTTTGATTATCCCTTTACATTCTGTCTTTTGAGGTTAAGAAATTTGATCCACGAACATTAAAACACTCGAAGGATTCAGGAATAAATGAAGATAATTATTTAAATTCTTGTGGGGTGATAATGATTAAAAATGGGGTAATAATCCATTTAGTAGAAGTGTATCCATAGATATTGCTCTCGGATTCTAATTTTAGTGGTGGAGGAAAATAGTGCATGATTTTAATTGGATTATTTATTTAAAAATTTTAGGAAAGGAGATCCTCGTTCCTCTGACAGAATCAATGTATGTACCCGGGAGAATATCAGACACAGAGAATGTTCTCGTGGATGTTGGCACAGGTTATTTCATCGAGAAACCGGTGGACGATGCAAAGGATTACTTCAAGAGGCGAGTGGCTTATGTCACTGAACAAATAGAAAAAATTCAAGTACTGGCGCAGGAGAAGCTCAACATCTGCAATGCCACGATGGAAATCATAGGGATGAAGATTCAGGGACAGGAGGAAAAGGCAGGAGCATAAGAACACCATTTATTTAGAATTCTATCAATTTTTCCATTGCAACGGCCTCCATAATTCATCAGCAAACTTGAATTTATTTTAGCAATACTCAGGATTTTTTACTACATTTTTGAGCGCTGAACGACAATTGTTGATTTAGTGATTCACTGCAGATATACAAATATTTGATTAACTGAGTTAATTAAATTTATTGGAATCCACTGATTGTTCTCGCAAAATGCATTTTACATTGTTCAATCGTCATTTATTGAATATAATACAGTAATTATATTATTCTCATGAATTTGATTAAATTCGTCTGTAGTATTTTTATTATGTCCCTTAGAACATTGGGTTTTGGGAGAAATTTCGTTTCAATCATTTATTTTTTTATTCTCGAAATGAAATAACCCTATGATGCATTTAGTAAGGGCTTTTTGTAGATTTTAGGAGCTATATTTTTTGTTGAGGTATCAAGATAACCGTTATGGAGTGTAAAACATCGTAAAAAAATCATTACTTTTTCATTCTCTTCGTTCGCTTTTTTATTCACTATTTTAATTGAACTTACCTGCAATATTTTTTTTTATTCCCGATGAGAGTGGCTTCTCAGGAAAATTACGAAAAGTTGAGAATTCATATATTCAGCATTAACAATCCAAATAACTCATCAATTATTTGAGTTTTCAATTCTTGGAAGTCCCAAAATAATTATTACCCATCCATTTTTTCTCAGATATCTAAACATAAATTGTGATTTTATTTCACATTTTATTATTTAAAAGCACTTACCTGCGATATTTGAATTTTATCAGTGGGGGAAATGGGTGTGTGGTCGTAATAATTCAAGAATTACAATTATTTAGTAATAACGAAGAATCCATAATTTATTTGTTCATTTTCAAACTGAAACAACTCCATAAAACAATAAGAGCATTCTATAAACTTGACAGGACGTATTTTTCCATTTGATGGTAATATTTTTTAACTATTCATGGTTTTTTTTTTTGTTGGAGGTATCAAAATAATCGTCACAGGATAGAAAACACCGTATAATATTCGTTATTTCTTTATCCATTTTGTATCATTTTTGTATTTATATATAATTCGTCGATACCCGATAGTTAATATCGATCTAACACAATGACATTATGAGTTTTCCTTCATAATTCCCTTAGATTACAACCCCAGTTGCTCGGTGGAGCAATTTCGTCCCTTATATATGCCAACATAATATCGCTAAAATTATTACATATTTCTTCTATTTACACGAATAACATATGCTCGTTGAAAGTCTTACTCGATTTTGAATTTTCTGTTTTTAAATTTCTTATCTTAAGGTTTTGTTCTTGAGGAATAGGAGTCGTTAGATTCTCGGGGTAGACTTGGGGATATTTTTGGATTTTTCGCTTCAATGATTTCTTTTACCTCGATTCTCCTCACTGACACAAAAACATTGATTTCGGTGTCACTTTAAATTCATCCAACAATGATACTCTCACTCAGTTCTCGAAGGGTTTTACACTCTTTAAATATCCTCTCTCTCTCTACGCGCAAAAGTATTTTAATTCAGACTTTCTGCAGATTCGTGTTATCTCGTACACTGTAGAATTGAGTTGGCGGATACTAGGAGAACTATCCAATGAGCAATCGTCAAATTAGCAACACCGCTTCCTGAAAAAAAATAACGAAGAAATTATAGTTGTGCGAAGAGATTTTTCACTTTCTGCTTCGTAAAAAGTTCTTCCATATTTTTTTTTATGGAGAAAAAATGAACTTAATCGCCGGAAAATTCATACAGTCGTCAATACTAGGTATCGTGTACCTGATTTTCATACTTGGAACTTATTTCAGTTGCGAAGAGGTAAAGAGTAACAACCCGAGTTGTTCTCCCCTTGAGTTTTCGAGGAATATCTCTGGATCTGGGAGGGGTAGAGAAATTTTTCTCGAGAGTTCTTTCGCAGAGTGAAATAAGAGCTACAGGGGCGATTCATACAAAACTTCTGGTGCCTCTTAGATTTTGAGATATTCCTCGGAAACTTGAAGTAATTAAAGATTTGCATCTTATTTATCTGCTTTAAATGTGATGATATCATGAAGTTTTCCATAAACTTCGTTAGGAAACTTCGGGGTCATAAAAATTGATTTGGAAAAAGTTTATTTTTCCTGAGATGTGAAAGAAAAAAATATGAAATTCTTTAATTTCGCCTTGATTCAATCCGTTTTAAACACTCTGGCCTCTGTATCCAAGTTAGTCAGCTAACCAAAAAGTAAATAATTATTTTCATAAACTCTGAATTATCAAACTCACCAGTATGGGGTGAATCACGAGTGCCTAACACCGAAGCAAGTCTCGGTCGTTCCTCATCAATAAGCGTCGTGACATCCATCTTGTAAAGCTGGAAGACATTAGCATGACAAGTGATTTGTAGTCTGCCATTTCTAAAACTGTCCTGACTTATCTCAAAATCCAGCCCAGCATATGTACGAGATCGATTGTCCATTTTCTCCGCGATTGTCTTGTGATACGTTGAGTTGAGCTGCAAGATACGAAAAAAATAAACAATAATATACATTGAACCCTGAACCCCAAGACCTCACGTAGAACTAAGGGAATAGGGAGAAATTCTCTGATGGGAAAACAGAGAAATAACAGGCTAAAAAGGTCTTCCTCTTTTCTGCCTAGAATGATGGGAGGGTAAAAAATGAGTAGGAGTGCAGACAACGCACGTCACGATGATTGATTTTCAAGAAAAAGAGAAAATTAAAAAATATCCTGGAACAATAGTTCGTGCGGATGGGATGGAGAGACATCGGAGGAGACATGAACAGTTTCAAAAATATTAAAAAATTAGACGGTATGAAGTATGTCTGCAGACACGGTCTGTGATAAATTACTCCAGACATCAGGAGATGCTTGTCATATATCGAGTGTTTCGTTTTAATACGTCTGTAGTTTTTTCCATACACCCATGGAATTCTACTCAAGACAATTCATACGTCGATCCAACAAAGGCCCGAATAATTGTCAATCCCTTTCAATATCATAGAATACACCTTAAAGTGAAAAATGAATTAACGAGTAAAAGAGAGTTATCCAGCGAGTTAATAATCCATTTGAATTTATCTATTCATTTTTTATACTTTTAAAAATATTTTCAAACTCTTATAATTCACTATAAATAAGAATCATCGCCGAAACAAATTTGAATTTCCTATTTCACTGACTGCTACCATCACTCAAAACCTTTCTCCCTTACCCCCTCGTCCCTCAAATTGATTTCCAATATGGCGTCGGCTAGCCCTGCCACTTCGCACATTTAACCGCTCCTAAAAACGATTTCCCTTATCAATTCCACAGCCAGTCCCTCGCATATCAATCCTCTCGAGGGAACGATTATACACAATATTTTCCCTCCCATTCCCTAACTCCAGCGAAGCCACAGAGCAGTTCAGAAACTCGTCGTAATCTCCGGCCGGTAATTCCGATGTATCGACGAGCCCAACAACTCTTCACCCATAACCCTCGTAACCATCATGCCCCCCAACTCTTCCTCCCCCCAATCCAAAGAATGTTCTAAACCGCAACGTATGTATTTTCACTCATTAAGACCAGCGTACTCCACACTGGTACCTGCCTCGTTACATAGTTACAGCCCGTTCTGAAGAACTAATTAACTGTGGAAACCCTGAGATAGTCCTTTAGAATGTTCCCTATCCCAAAGAGTGGACGACTCTTCCCACTTGTAACACCCAACACTTTTACCACCCGGGGTCATTAACCCCCTCCTTCAGTAACATATTCGTTGAGATACGCACAGGCGTATTCCAGGGGAGTACACAGGTGAATCTGTACTTCCTGCCGAAGGCTTTTACACACGCCCTCTCCCTCATCCTCATCTTGGCTTTATCCTTTTTACACACGCATATACACACCAATGAGTATGGTTTCCCGTCGGGAGTAATTCGCCCGTCGTATTCAACTATATAAACATATACTCGTTGAATTCTCAGGTAAGATCGTAAAACACGAGGTAAACCAGCGATGGAGGGGTGAATCAATGGGGATAGGATGAGGATTTGTTATGGTATGTTCTCTACTTCGGGTATATCTCACTTGGTTCAATATTATATACGATTATAAAACGCCAACGAGCGGAAAGGGGTGGAGGAGAGGAGCTCCTGAAGAGGGTGATAAAGAATCCGGGAGAATGAGAGGCGTATTCGCGTGCTTGCCCACGTAATTCGCGGAATAGCGCCTTGTTATGTAAGTATTATTACAGTACTGCGTAACGGACACTCACGCTAATATATCCTACTGCTGTGGGGAATTTATTTCCGAGTGGGCGGGGGGTCCCGGGGAGTTCCGGGTGCCGGATAATTTCTTGGAGTTTCTGACACTTGTGAATTTTGTTTTTTGTTTTTGTTGGAATTCATTTTGCTATTTATTTGGGCAGTTGGAGGGAATCGCAGTGATTGTGGAGTTTTTCGTGAATTCACAATAGAAAATTTGGGGAGAATTGAGAAAAGGGGAATTCCGATTTTTTTGGAAGAATTCATGTTAATAGTATAGAAATTTTCATTTGTTTTGATAAATAATATTAACTAGTCGGAACAAATGAAAAATTCAGTTTCAATAAAATAAACGCGAGTGTTTTGTTGATAATAATTATTTTGGAAATGAGAAATATTATTCCTATACTACAAAACTATATAAAATAGGTGAACGTTTGGGCAATAAATGAGGTGGCTATTATCACAGTGTTTTCCCAGATTTTTTTTCAGCGAAAAAAAAATATGAGGGTGTTTTTCAGTTCGGTTTTATGACACAACGAAGAATGAAAATGGCGAAAAACTGAGAGGTAACGGTTCAATGGAGGATTTTATGAGAGGATTTTTTTTAGGATTCCAGTTACACCGTTTTAACCCATTAAAAATGATATATAAGTTTTCCCTTGGAATAGGGAAAAATCAAGCATAAATTTTTTAAGGGATGAGAATTGTCCGCCGAGAAGTATCGAGAGACTCTTTGAGAATGGAACATTCGCGATTTGACCATAAAAAATAGATTCTATTTTGCGAAATCGTTTTCACCCTTCGAGATATACTCCCATTTTTCAATCAAATAAGATCTGAAATTAATGTGTAAATTAACAATAAAATCAATTATTCCAAAATTCTCCACAAGATGTTAAAATTTCTCCATTATCCCAGAATTTCATTCGGAGGTTTTTATTTAAATTATTTACTGACCGACAGAGCAGTTACTAATTGTCGAAAACTATTAACTCCCCCGCAAATCCCATTAATATCAATTGAAGTTTGTTGAAAAGTGAAATAATTTTCAAACTCGTGAGCCAATCACTCGGATCGATTCTCTCCTCCAAAAAGTAAAATGCATTGAAGCTCTGAAGAGTCTATTATACTACAACGAAAGTTCTAATACCCAAGTTGTAATACCCTTCAAACTCCCAAAAAATAAAATTCAATTAAATGTGGATTTTGGGGAAAGTTTGAGAACCATTTATGATCAATTTTTCCCCTTCGCAACTTCAGCCACTCACACTGTTAAAAAATCGATTATTCATGATGCAGAATAATTTCGTATATTTTCATTTATTTCCATCTCTGTTGGAAATAAACCAGATAAACGTGGAGTTGAAACTTTAACGTTGAAACTCTTCTCGTATTTTCAATTCAAGACTCTTGTTATGTGAATGAAACTTCTCGGAAAATTTCAGCTTGTTGGGTGGACTAGTGCGCGCTTTCGTTGTGATTACAATGTCCGGAAAATGAATAGACAGATAAACATTTAAATTCTCTTGGTCCGAGGAGATAAACTTGTTTCAGACCAAGTATTCTTGCTTTAAAAATTCAATGAAGAGTTTTTAATTAAGAATCCTACAAGAAAAAGAACTTGAATTAAGAATGAAACTCGCCATTGCTCTCGTTGGAGAAAAATTGTGGCGAACAATTAAAGAATAATGAAAATCTTTCATTAGTTCAGTAATGAAAAGATTAAACGAGCAACTGCATTCAGCTGTTCGCTGAGGTTTCTTTAAAATATCTCCGAAAATAAACAAAATTATGAAATTTCAGCGTAATCATTTTTTTGTAGATCTAATTAACATGATTTGTTAATTGCTTTGGAGGGAAGGAGTAATCATTAATTAAATTAGACACACCTCGGAACATTAATCAAACCCTTGGATTCAGCGGAGGGTGAGACAATATAATTTTGAGAGATGTTCCATTATGTACCCATTGAAACCCCAAGTTGTGCTTTCAATTTAATCATCCCCATTGCTGAAGGTACAGTATCAATAAATCTTACCACAAGTCCTGTATTTGTACTGAGAGCAATTTCAATCATCGCGGGACGTTTAAATCAAACAGAAACTCTCGATAACTGTTGGATCGTCGGGAATCTAGATGGGCGTATGTCGCGAAGGAATTCAATGAAGATCGGATTTCATTAATTTTAATTAATCCCCACGGAGGCAGATATCCAATAAAATGTCATTACAATTAATAATCGTAATGTACACATAAGTGTTTCAAAAAATTGTTATGGAAATTGTTTTTAATGTGAACCAGTGTAATTACCGAAATTTCATTGATGCTCCAAGTGACATTAGCTGGTGGATTACTGGGTGGTACAGTGCAGTTGGCTTTGACTGTTTCACCAATGGCATATCTCTGCTTCTCGACGAGTATCTCGGGTATGCCCTCGGGTAAACCTGTGAAAATATATACGGCATACACACCATCGTCACGTGAAAATGTCCCATGTGAAAAGGGTGGGGAAAACTACTTTGGCATATATGTGTACATGCTCGTTTCCCGTGGGTGCATTTGCGTTAGGTTTATGTAGGGATATGTACAATGGAGGCATTCGCGTTTCTAGAATCACGCGAGCAACTGAACGTCTCTCAGGACTTTGAGACCCTCAGGTACAATAACATATACTCAGTTACACCTATGACGTATGCCCCGTTATTTTTCACTCTTTCGACAAATCCCTGTCTCTTCCCACAGTCACGAGTCATTAACCGAAAATCGTTGATTTTTGCCCACTCACGCCGGGGCGGAATGAACACTCACTTGTTTTTTGTTGTCATTAATGAGTGATCGTCCGGGTCATGATGATCACTTATCGGGCGGATGTTTCATGCAAAAACGTGAATTTTTTTTGTGGCACTCGCGGAGTGAGTGATCGGGATGAGTTACGTGGAGGGTAGAGAGTAGGAAGAATAATTCGGGTCGGGTTGAATTATCGTGGGGTAGATTGATTGATCGACTGTTCTAGATGCTTGTAGAAATTATTTGAGAAATTCCTTGTGGGGGAAAAAATTGTAGATGGAAAGAATATGAAAATAAATTTTAAAAGAAACGAAAATATTTTTTTTTCATCCCCAGCTTCAGGGGTTGATTTAGGATCTTCGGGGGAGAAGTTTTTCTTTAATCCAATTTTTTCATCAACCAACGGTTGATTTTGCATACATTAACTTCGTAGATGATGAAGACGGAAAAAAATGAAAATGAGAAAAAAATTCACCCTCAACCCTGAGGTCCTATACACATCATAAATATGCAAATCTCATTCTACATATAATAAACTAATATTTTTCGTTAAAAAAAAATCGAGTGCCTGTTCAAGAATTTCGCAATGATAAATACGCGTAATGGTACTCACCAACAACATGCATGTACCCAGAAGTAAATGCGGTGTGAAAATGGGGAAGATCACCGCTGACCTCGCACTTGTATTTGCCCTCGAGATCCGGTGTGACATCTTTCAGGACAACTCTGTGAGCATCACTCAGGACAGTCTGCCACCAGAAATAGAAATAAAATCCATTGAATAATTGAATTAATCCACCGGCCCCAGGCGGCAAGCCCAAAGTGGATTTCACCGAAAATCCAGAGCTCCGGATGGTCCGAGGACGACGAGAGGAATCCAGAGTTAATTCGGCGGCTAGACTGCCAACCGCAGAATCGACCGAGTCGCATAGGTACCCACTCTGGAGCCCTATTTATCCCGAATCGATACATCCCCTGACCCCATCCCCAAAATCCCTCATTCAGTATCCGAACAATCCTACCGGCAACAACTATTAATTATATATGTTACTGGCGGCAGCGATAAATCATGTGCAATCAATTTGGTTAATTTCGAATAACAGGCGCAGCACTGGGAAAAATAATTACTCCCGCCAACTAATTTTACCATCAACAAGAAAATTCATGTATTTCCGTACAAATTTTCCGCTCGCATGACCATTCAACGTACGTAAATATTGGCGTTTATAATTTCAACATAAAAAATACTAAAACTCAAAATCTATACGCAAAACGTCCCAGCAGCTCAGGTTCGAGCCCCGATGATGAACATTCTTTTCTCATCGGGAAACCAATAACTGTGAAATTATTTTATAAGGTTTACTATATAATATATATAACGCATATTTTGTCAACGGTTTCTCCGGAATTCGTAAGGAGCGAAAATTCCTGCTACGGCAATTCAAATAAAAATGTGTTCATACTGCTCTTCTATATTTTTTGGAATGAGGTGTCACAGGCAAAAACAGGGATAAATGGAAAAGGGGTAACTTGATTCACGTGTGCTGGTGGTTGACCGAGTCGCGGCGTGCCGAGAATTGTCGAAAATGTTTCTCGGTGCCGCTCGGCACCACCGCTCCAACTATATACCCTCAATTCCCCATATTACACTTTAGTTTTGTGTGCAACCCTGTGCCCTCTCCTCTCCCCTCATTTTCAGGGGTTCGTGTTCGCCTGACAATTTCGCATTTTGCCCGTCACCACGATATATTTCACTCCACCCTTCCATCCCCACCCCATTTCACCCTATTCCTCCATCCAACCGATAAACGGCTACGGTATACACGATCACATAAATTTTTGTTTTTTATTTTAGTCCTATTTTTTTAATTTTTCTGTTCATTTTTCATTTTTTTAATCAATTTTTCAACCCCTACGCCTCCCCCCCTTTTTTTTCCGGGAACTCTTGCTAACCCCTATCCCCCAGGGATTTTAATAACGCGGTGATGCGCAATAACAGAATTTATACCGAAAATGTGAAGTACAGGTCGTTCGTCACTTCCGGTTTTCGCCAAATTCATTTCTGTATTTCAGTGTCTCTGTCGTTTCTCTCTGTAGTCCAATAATGTCATTCGAAAATCCATTGTGGGACTGATGGGAAGGGGATGAAGGGGGTGCGATGGGGTGAAATTGGGGTGAATGTGTGGGGTTTGTCGCCTGCTTTGAGCCGCGTTTGGATATCTGTGAAGGTGCGAGTGGATTTGGTGGAAGCCAATACCAAAATGCGGGGATTCCAGTTTGATAATGGTTTTGGAGGGAAAATACGGTTCCACGGTAAAGCGGCTACTGAAAGAAGGGATGGTTCGGGGTGGATGGGGGTGTACTACCCAAATAAGTAGACAAGGGGAACTGGATACGCGATTGGATTCCAATCACATTGACATCGTTACTTTGTTGTCAGTCATTTGTTTGTCGGGTTCATCGGTTTGTTGGAACTCCCGGAAATTTGATATTCCGGGGTTTTTTTTTTTTGAGTGAGAGATGGGGTTACTTGTGTACAGAGTGAATTTTTCGAGCTCTGGGTGTCATGATTTTGATGTGAGCGGAAAAAAAGAGTTTGAGATCAAAAGGCGAGGTATTGACGTGGATTTTTTGCCTGAAAGGGTTTGAACTTTTTGGCCAACAGCAGGAAAATGGAAAATGGATTGAGCGGTGCATTGGTTTGGTGTCGGGTGAAAAGTGGTCGCGATTTAGTGAAAAATTCAGGGGCGCGGTGAAAAAAATACTCGAAATATTACGCAACTTTTACGTGTCGGGGAATGACCTTGGTTTTCAAAAAAAAAGTACTGAACTTTCGGTCAAAATTTTTTTATGATTTTTTAGGAAGCTTTCAGGATGATTTTAACGGACCACCTCTCGGTTTCCTAAAAGTTCCTAATTTTTCAAATATTTTTCTCTCCATGAGGAGAATTCGATTATTCAGGCAGTTGTAAATTTATCCGACATAATATAATTTCGAGGAATTTATTTGGCAGGCGATCTTGAATGGAATGCGGTTCTTACGCGGTTCGGATTTTATTTTTGGTCATTTATGGGATATGAGATGATGCAATTTTTTTTGAGAATCCGTATTCGAAAAATATCGGAGTGTAAAGCTAGATAGCGACATCTCTGCGAAGGGTTTTTTTATCGGGCGCAGGAGGATGTATAAAAAATGTCATCATAAAAAACGTCTATTTCCTTTGGATCCGAACGTTTTTCTCATAAAGTAAGGTTTAAAGATCAGCTGGAGAAAGATGACTAATGTGAGTTTTCTCCTATCCTCTCGATTCGATAACAGAAATAGTGCATTGCATTCTATATTACAGCCATGAAAAAATTGTCCATTCCATTTTTAATTTTTATAATTTTCAATTTGTCCCGAAATTTAAGGATAAAGAGACCGTCAGAATATTATATGGTTAATCCATTAAAAATGTAGAAGTGAAATAAGTTTTGTCTATTGACCTTGAAATTTCGTAGTATGGACTAGAATTATTTTCCAAGGTTCTCCTGCTCTGATTTGGTCTGGTCTAGTCTGCTCTGCTCCTTCCCTTTCCATTGTGCAGCTCCTGTAGTTCGATCCGCGTGACTGAATTTTCACACAAGATTCACCCAGATATCACTTCGCGCGGACCGTGGAGAAAGACCGTCAGTATGTTATATCAAGAACAGAAATGAACGAACGAAATCGGCTTTGTCTAGCGACCTTGAGAATATTTGATTCTTGAAGAGAAATATTCCCCGAGTATCTCCTTCTCAATTGAAATTTTTTAGTTATTGAAATATTATATCTCAAGGTTCACCCGTCGGTTGAGATTTCTCGTTATTAAATGGAATTATTTTCACGGTTTTTTCGCTGTACTAAATTTTTTTCTTCGGTACTGCCGACGTAGAATCGATCAGTGAGACAAAATTTTTATAGATTTATCCAGGGATATCACTTCGCAGGATCATGGAAAGAAACCCTCAGTAAACTGTATGGAGGGAAGGATCGAAATCGGTTTGGTCTTGGCGGTGACGGCCTTGAGATTTCCAAGTGTGGAATAAAATTATTTCCCCGGATTCGCCTTCTTCTCTGATCTGCTACTCCGTTTTGATCTGCTACTTTCCTTTCCTTCCAGCAGCCTCCGACGATCACCTCCGCGTAATTGAATGTTTCCACAAAATTTCCTCAGATACATCAACTCGCACGGACCTTAACGAGAGGCCCCTCGCCGAATTAATTTTCTAAAATATTCAGTTAAAACGTGCAAATCTGTGATTGGTGCGGCGATTGGAGCCAATCACATGAGAGTACACTTTTAACCCCCACCATGCGATTTTCCGCCAATCACGAATTTTCACGGTGTCCCAACAGTCTATAAAATATGCTGCAGTATTGGAGACAGTTCAGTCTACGGAACACATCGGAAATGTACGGATGAATAGCGGCGGGGAAGACAGCTTCGTGGCTTTTTCCTGAAGATAAAAATTTCTGGTGTTAAAATACTCACATTAATTTTGTCTGAAAAATTTCCAAAAACAGCTATCGGTGGGGCTTCCTTCGGCAGATATCTGTAGAACTCAGATCCACTTTTGTACCATTTGACGACATACAATGGATCATTTTGCAGATCATATGAACAGCTGAGGTTGACAATTGAGCCGATGGCCACTGCCTCCGGAATGTTGTGAGTGACATTTGTCAATCCATTAACACCTGCAATAAAAAAATTCAGTTACAGCTCACAACTACACGCATACATCTCAGGTCTCGACAATTTAACAAAAGGATTCAGAAACCTTGATTTTTTGTTATTCATTCAATGCTATCTATAGATAAGATAGATTATTTTTATAGATATTTTTAATAGATCATTTTTCGGATGATTCGTTGAGTTATGGGAATTGGCATGAATTTTTTTATCAATTCAGTAATGTCAAGAATATTACCGAATGTTTCGCTCCGGGTATTCATTATTGAAATCATCGGAATATCTCTAGTCGAATGAATTGAAGTAATCGCGATGAATGATTTATTCCACACATTATATGAAGAACCAAATGATTTGATCAAACTGATTTGTTTACATTTAATGGAGAGTTCCATTGGATGTCACCAAAACTAAATAAAATACGAACCCAAATATTCACTCAACTAAAGTGGGAGCTATATTATGATTAAATAAATAATTGAATGAAGTTGAATGCATAATTAATCCAGAAAAATGTTCCAATCCAATTCAATGCATTTGTTTGAAATTATCGATAATTATTCGCATTGAAAAACAAATACACTGGCGGAGTGTAAATAAATTATGAAATTAACAAATTTGAAAGTCTAAGTGACTTGTAACAATTCCATTAAAAAACCGTTGCATGTATTTTGCGTTCTCTTTTTTTTTTCATTCTAGAATAAATTTCACGGAAAGTTTGCGTTATCATTCTGGAGATTCCCCATAGTTTTCAGTTGAAGTTTGAAATCAAAACATTATCGGCCTTGAATTATATTCGCCTTGTGCCTACGGTTATTAAAGCATTTCAGCTCCTCAAACTTTACCCCTCATTACCTTTTCAATGGGCAACATTTTATTTGATTTAAGATCCTCATTTCCAGAATATAGTCAAAAATATGAGATGTATAACCATCATAATATTTGCAATTCAGTTTTTATGGAAAATTATTTTACAAAAACATTAGTGAGAGAGCACGAATTATATATAGTTGAATGAAATAATATGTTCATTTCCCTTTTCGAATATTTTAAATTCATAAATTATTTGATTCATTGAAATTCAATCTGCAAAATTCGGAATTTTTTGAAATTTCACTAGAGCGACGGGGAAAAAAATCAAATGAAATATTTCCAATTAAAACGCAAGTTTTAACCGATAATTTAATTTCCCTGGAATAAACCAAACTCCTATCCCCCATGACGAATGACAGCGATAAAATCGCACACATCCATCATGACAATTCCCACGGAAATGAAGAGAATCACCAGAAAGAATAACAGCACGTTTTTAAAATAATTACAACATAGCCGGAGAAAAATATTTTTAATAATTTGTTAATTCAAAAATCTTTATGCATAAAAAAACATAACAAATCCATTGAATTGAGTGAAATATTTTTTTAAACTTAAATTCAACTGTTTATAAGCTCTATACCTGAAAAATATTTGTTGCGGTATCTTCAATTATAAATGGATAATTATATAATTCTAAAAAAAGGACTGAACCTCGGATAATCTTCACGGAGAAAAAAAATGGATAAAAAATGACGTGAGAATTTTGTAATTTGGTGACACCCGAAGCAATTTAGCAATTTGGCGAATTTAAAAAATTGGCCGAATCGCAAGTTGATATCTGAATTACGAAATTCTCATGTAATTTTGAATAGATTTTTTCCTCCGTGCTGGAATCCGTTTCCCGAATCTCCTCATTACTCAACTCCGAGTCCTCATGAACGCTGGAATCTTCAGCAAACAATTTCCCCTGAAGGATCCCCTCCAGTAAATTCAACAACAGCTAGATAGACATTACTAGACTGATTTCGCAAGTTTGACGCGTTATTAGAACCTCGCAGTCCTAAGTGTAATTAGAGGAGTGAGAGGAGAGAAAGGTTAATTAGGCAGGCGCGATAGTGTTTCCCAAACTTTCATCTGTGTATATAACGGTATACATAGGAAAATGGCACTACCCCCCGGTTTCACAATTTGGATTTCGAGTCTTAGCTCGAACTGGTAACTTTGCCACTCTAACGTATACACAATCTCAAACTTCATTCTCTAATCTGTCCATATAACTAATTAGAATTACTCCATGACTCGAGGGGTGGAAGGGCATGTGCGGGTCGGTAATTATTTGCACTGAGAGTGACACCCAACATTCTGCACTTCACCTGAATTAACTCAACATACGATACATTCGAGAGCATTGTAACAAACTGCGAGGTCGATGACACATACTTCCACCTTACCGAGACTTTTATACAGAATAAGAAAAATAAGTTAAATATAAATAGGGGAGAGGAACTCGAGTAGTTCCTCCTTTTCCACGCTCACCGCCTGCTTAATTAGTAATTACTTATCTATTCGCGCGATGAGAATGAAACTCGAGGCCCCCGCGAGGCATGCGGAATGAAAAACAGGGAGAAATCTGTCTGAAAGGCTCATCCCATCAACAATCAACCTGGGGGATTTTTATTTTTTTAGGGGTTCAAATCGATCAGGATATTTTTAATTAGACTGGGTAAAAAATCTCCGATTGTAATCAACGGATTTTCTCGCTAATGATTTGCTAATTGCCGAGAATTTCACGAAGCGCAAGTCATTGCCATATTTTGCATGATTAATTATTGATTAATTCAATAACATAGTGCGATAATATTTCTTTAACAACTAGGATACATTAATTTTTCTTAACGCCAGTTTTCAGAAATATTGATAAAAAATTAAGAGAAACTTCAAGTTGCGACATGTTAATTATCCTCCTCTGAACGTAAACTCATCGTTAATATCCAATACCCGAATGAAAAATTCAAAAGCCGATATTCTCTCTGCCATGAATGAATATAAATAAAAGAAAGGGACTCTCGTATTTCCTCGTTTTCCACGCTCACCGACTGCTTAATTAGTAATTACTTATCTATTCTCGCGATGGGACTGAAACCCGTGGGCCCAGGGTGGGAGGCAAGAAGAAGAGATGTAAAACCCTCTGTTACGTTATGAATTCTTTATATTTTTTCCATACAAAACCGTTATTCTGAAATGTATTAATGCATAATCCCCGTGATAAGACCAGGGGCCCTGGTGGCCATGGTTGAAGACCCAAGGGGCTGAGGAGCTTTTTTCTCCAGTTTCTTCATTTTTTCCAAGTTTATCATCAACTTCAGAACTTTGTTAAGTTTAAGTCCAAGTTGTAGTTGAAGTCGATCTTCAACGTCAATCTCAATTTCAACTTCGACTTCAACTT